CTTTTCCCTCTTTCACTGCGCTCAGCACTCATCGCTAGGGGAAAGAGGCGTGGACCCCGAATTCACAGTGTCCAACCGTCCCTTCGAAGGAAACTTCCCAGTTTCTTCCTTGTGAAGTGAATGATTAGAAAGGAGACCAGTAAGTTGCTAACGAGCCGACATTAAACTTCCCACTTTGGAACTTAAAGGCACAGGTCAGGACAATTTTGGGGGTATCCGGTATTTCAGAGATATTGGTAGGTAAGGCCTACACTAGGACAATGGTAAAGCATAAAAGGCTAAAACAGTGAAAAAAAGGAAAAGAAACGGCCGAAAAAAAAAGAGGAAAAAGTGGTTGGACGAGATTCGTAATGGGAAAACGGTGGTTAAGTGAATGATCGCGGAAGTACATGAATGCGACGCCATGTGTGCAATGGAACACAAAACACCCAAACAGCTGATTTAGACTAAATTTGTGGGATAAATTTTTCGCTTCAGAAGCACATTTCACGATAGGCTTTTGAGATATCCCCAAGAAGTAAATTGAGTCCCCCTCGTAAACCATATGTGGCACTGTTAGGTCGGAAGGCTCTAGATATGGCGTTATGGAGCTCAAAAGTCGTATCTGCTGTATGCCACACCAAAGGCGGACGGGTCTTATCGGCGTTGTAGAGGCTGCATCATCCACAACGGACACCCGTGTTAGAAATCCAAACAACTAGTGACCCATCCTGACCTAAGGCAGCCAGCTCTTTACTTGAAGGCACGGTCCACGATAATTTTGAGGTACCCGTTTTTATTCGAAAAGTGAAGTATAGATTGAGAATAGTTCATCGGTAGTGAAGAAAGCGAGAGAGCTCGCTGATTTCGAGAAAAATATGGCTCCTCAAAAGTAGGAAAAATAGGGGTTGGACGAGATTGCCATGATGGAAATAACATGGAAGGGGTATTCGGACGGGATTTCAGTTATTGCAATTCCACAAAGAGCTGACTACATCAAGCCTGGACTGTAGAGAACTCTTTCACTGTCGCTGTGAGTCATGACAAGTTGTTTAAACCTCCATCATGGGTTTCCTTGTGATCGGTGCAGCCTCTACAATGCCGGTGAGACTCGTCCAGGGATACGCACGGACCAATATTTGAGCATTTATAGCTCAGTAACTAGGCCGTTTTCCGACCTAATAGTGGCAGATATGGTCTACGCGGAGGCCTCAAATTCATCGTGTGGGGAATATTAGAAACCATTTTTATCGTGAACTGTGCCTTTAATTTTTCGTTTTTAATTTGTTAATTACGTACAGCATTGGTTCTGCAAAACACTCTTTAAATTGAATTTTCAGCACAGCATAAACGGATATGCTGAATGTCTCAGAAAAAAGCAGTTGGAGTTCAAAGCCCTCTTAGAACGCTCCACTGTGAAGAGCGCCTCTAGGACGAGTTAAACCGTTCCTTGAAAGAGACTCAGATGGCTGGCTAGACTGTGGACATGTCATGTGAAGCAGTTCCGAGTAAAATCTAATCAGTTNTATTTTGGCTTTTCTCCTTTGGACGGATTGTTTATTAGCAATGGCTCAATTCTAGACCCACTAATTATACATCATGCAAAATATTCCGTAAGCTAGTCAGGGTTGATTGATATGATGAATAGTAGGCGGCGCTCCGTGCCACTGTGCAAACACAGCTGCATGGAAAGCAACAGCTCGTCTTTGAGATACCGCCCAGAAATAATGTTATTGGCTCTCAGTGTACTACCCTGAACTGATTTCGGCGCATTCCCTTTTTAGTGTTCCCTTTACATTCCCTCGCTTCCCTGGGAATCATTCCGTTATGATGCCAGACAAGTTTTTGCTCTTATATCGCATCACCCTCTAATGCTGATGTGGCAAGGGCATTCACTTAATTAATGAAGGTTTTCAATGTGAAATGCCTTGGCAGTCCATAATATGAGATAGAACTAATCCATCCTCCAGGATCTTCGTCTCCTGCCGCTTCTGATGGTGAGAGCGGATGTCCTGAGTCAGGACTGCTATTTATCGAGGTTCTAAAAAGTTCTTATTCCTGGCATCTTAAATCGGTACTCTAATTTGGTAGTTTTTCTTTGTGATTTATATTTCCGTCATAGACTCTTCAATTTTTCTGAAGCATACCAGAAGACTTTCTCTTCACTCGTCACGAAATCCGTTCTACGTTGTGCTCCAAAAGTTTTTCCGAATCCGTCATACTAACACCACTTGTATCACTTCATCGTGATTTGGAACAAAAAATCAGTCGAAAGTGCCCTTTCCTATCACTCCTGCCTGAAGACCCTTGATAAATTGCTTGATCTGCCCGAAGAGATGGGTTTTGCCCAAACAGTAGTAGTAACGAGCCAGCGGTTCGGGTATTCAATACGATTGGGGCACATACAGGGTTCGAGCATATGGGGTGTGTTCTGTGTGTCTTACGGTAAGTGATAGCGGCCTGGGGTACGAGTACATACGTGAGTCCGAGGATGCGCGCGGCGAAGTGCGTGGCGACTCGAACGACTCTGGCGTCTATTATTGGGGCACAAACTTGAATTAGAGTAGATTAGTAGGATTAGCTGACCATACTAATCTATTCTACTTCAAGTATGGGCTCTAATGGTAGGCGTCAGGGTCGCTCGAACCGCCACGCACTTCGCCGCGCAATTTGCCGCGCGCATCCTCGGACGCGCATAAGTTCCGTCCCCCAGTGGCCTGGCCAAACACAACTCATCGTGGACAAACCTAGTGAAACTTTCCAACGAAGAGGGAATGCCGACGAAAAGGGCGGGTCGGAGGAAACAATTTAGATTCGTTTTCTGATGAAATCATAAATTACGGTACATTTCGGATTACACATATGTGAAAGCTACTAGGCAATTTTACACATATGGGTGCAAGCCTGGAACTGGAACAAGAAGAATTGAGGTGCTCAGGATAATGTGTTTCATGGTGCTTGGTAACCATAACTTCAAGATCAACTCTCAGGTGACGTCGAATTTCTCTNATTCGCGACGTCACCTGCTAGTCGAACTCGGAGAGCAGCATGGGAGTAAGCTTTGATGAAGGCACAGCTTTAATGAAGCTCGTTTACTTGAACACTCATTTCAATCTGAAGTGAAGTAATTTTTCTTTTTATACCCATGGTGTACCCAGAACACTGATACTTGGGCT